TTTTTGGGAGGTTTTTGATCACTGCTTCAATCTCGTTACTGGTTATTGGCCTAGTCAGGTTGTCAATTTCTTCCTGTTTCAGTCTTGGGAGTTTATAGGTTTCCCGGAAGGCATCCATTTCATCCAGCTTGCTCAGTTTATTGGCATATAGTTGTTGATAATAATTTCTAATAATTGTTTCTATTTCCTTGGTGTTAGTCGTGATCTCTCCCCTTTCATTCATAATTTTATTAATTTGCGTCCTTTCTCTTTTCTTTTGGATAAGTCTGGCCAGTGGTTTATCAATCTTATTAATTCTTTCAAAGAATCAGCTTCTAGTTTCGTTGATCTGATCTACTGTGTTTCTGGTTTCTAATTCATTTATCTCTGCTCTAATCTTAATTATTTCTAATTCATGCCTTAGGCATCGTTTGTTGCTTTTTCTCTAGTTCTTTAAGATGTAGAATTAGTTGGTGAATTCGGGACTTTTCTAATTTTTTGAGGGAGGCTTGGATGGGTATGTATTTCCGCCTTAGGACTGCCTATGCAGTATCCCATAGGTTTTGGACCGATGTGTTTTCATTCTCATTGGTTTCCATGAATTGTTTAGGTTCTTCTTTGATTTCCTGGTTGACCCAAACATTCTTGAGCAGAGTGGTCTTTAGCTTCCAAGTGTTTGAATTTCTTCCAAATTTTTTCTTGTGATTGAGTTCATTTTAAAGCATTATGGTCTGAGAATATACAAGGAATAATCTCAATCTTTTGGTATCGGTTGAGACCTGATTTGTGACCTAATATGTGGTCTATTCTGGAGAAAGTTCCATATGTGCTCAAGAAGAATGAGTATTCTGTTATTTTAGGGTGGAATGTTCTGTATATACCTATGAGGTCCATCTGGTCCAGTGTATCATTCAAAGCTCTTGTTTCTTTGTTGATTTTCTGCTTAGATGATCTGTCTATTGCTGAGAGTGGAGTACTGAGGTCTCCCACAATTAACGTTTTGTTATCAATATGACTATTTTGGTTAACAGTTGGCTAATGTTGATGGCTGCTCCCATATTGGGGGCATAGATATTTACAATCATTAGATCTTCTTGTTGGATAGACCCTTTAAGAATGATATAGTGTCTTCCTGTGTCTCTAACTACAGTCTTTAGTTTAAAATGTAATTTGTCGGGGCGCCTGGGTGGCTCAGATGGTTAAGTGTCTGCCTTCGGCTCAGGTCATGATCCCAGGGTCCTGGAATCGAGCCCCGCATCGGGCTCCCTGCTCCATAGGAAACCTGCTTCTCTCTCTCTCACTCCCCTTGCTTTTGTTCCCTCTTTCGCTGTTTCTCTCTCTCTCTGTCAGAAAAATAAAAACATCTTTAAAAAAAAATCTAATTTGTCTGATATAAGAATTGCTACCCCAGCTTTCTTTTGAGGTCCGTTGGCATGGAAGATGGATCTCCATCCCTTCACTTTCAGTCTGGATGTATCTTTAGGTTCAAAATGAGTCTCTTGTAGACAACATTTGGATGGGTCCTGTCTTTTTATCCAATCTGCAACCCTGTGCCGTTTTATGGGAGCATTTAGGCCATTCACGTTGAGAGTTATTATTGAAAGATATGAATTAATTGTCATCATGTTGCCTGTGAAGACCTTGTTTTTATAGATTGTCCCTGTGAATTTCTTTTCTATATCACTCTTGGGGTCTTTCTCCTTTTATAAGAACCCCGTCTTAATATTTCTTGCAGGGCCAGCTTAGTGGTCACATATTCTTTCAGTTTCTGCTAGTCTTGGAAGCTCTGCATCTCTCCATCCATTCTAAATGACAGCCTTGCCGGATAAAGTATTCTTGGCTGCATGTTCTTCTTGTTTAGTACCCTGAATATGTCTTGCCAGGCCTTTCTGGCTTGCCAGGTCTCTGTGGATAGGCCTGATGTTATTCTGATGTTCTTCCCTCTGTACATAAGGAATCTCTTCCCCCTAACTGCCCTTAAGATGGTTTCCTTGGTTCTAAGGTTTGCGAGTTTTACTATTACATGCCAGGGTGTTGGCCTGTTTTCCTTGATCTTGGGAGGGGTTCTCTCTGCCTCTAGGACATGAATGTTTGTTTCATTCCCCAGATTAAGGAAGTTCTCAGCTATGATTTGCTCAAATATATCTTCTAGTCCTCTCTCTCTCCACCCCCTTAGATCCAATAATTCTGACATTGGAACGTTTCATGGTATCACTTATTTCTCTGGTTCTATTTTCATGGATTCTGAGTTGTTTTTCCCTGACCTCCTCTTTTCCCTTTTTGTCTATTGGCCTTCTAGGTCATTAATTCGTTCTTCTGCCTTGCTTACCCTAGCTGTTAGATTATCTAGATTAGATTGGATCTCATTGATAGCATTTTTAAGTTCTGCCAATTCAGCTTTCATTTCTGCCCTTAGAGACTCTATGTTGCCATTAATTGATTTCTCCATTCTAGCTATTGTCTTCACAATTATTAGCCTGAATTCCATCTCTGACATCTTGGTTATATCTGAATCCTTTTGTAAATCTGTGGCATAAGTCATAGTTTCTGAGTCTTTTCCTATTTTGGGGGTTCCTCCTCCTAGTCATTCTGTTGAGGGGTGGTTTAGGGAATGTATAGAGTCCAAATTATTGATCACAACCCAAGCAAGATGCACCTGTTTTCTAGAGACCTTAGGGTTGCTGGCCTCTTGTTTTCCCAGCCTGTCTTCTGGGGAAGGCGCCTGCTGTGCTGTTACTCAGGCAACCCTGTTTGGGCAGAGGTGCCCTGCCCCCTGTGGCGGGGGATAGGCTGAGTGAAAACCAGTTTTTTGGGGCTTTTGTTCTCTGGTGGCTTTCTCTGGCGGCTTTCCGCGTTTCTTCTGAGAGTCAGAGCAGAAGAGACCGTTTCCAACCCTCTGCCTCAGAGCAGAGAGATTGCAGTCTGTTCTTCAGTGAGCTCTCCAGGCCAAACTATCTCTGTCTCTGTCTGTGCTGCTATAAACTGCAGGGTCCTGGGTTGTGCGCCCCTCAGCAGCACTCCCAGTCCTCACCTCCAAGTGGGGCACGTCTTTGCCCTTTGTGCTTCTAAAACTGCCAGCTGCCCCCAGTTTGCATGCGCAGCCCTGCTTCTCCGGTTTCCATTTGGGGGACTGCCCTAAAGTCCTTTCCCTGCCGCTACTGGTCTGCGAGTCTGTGCCCCGTCCCCAGTGTGGGAGGCTGTCACTCACCGACGGTGTAGGATCCCCACAGCCAGGCTCCCTCCCACTGCCATTTATCCTCCAATATCTGCCTGCGGGATCATGGCTCCCTGCTTCGAACCTTGAAATTAACTGCCTGCAATATTCTGTTTGTGGAGATCCAGATCTATCTTCTTACATCTCAGGCTGTTTTCTTGGGTGTTCAGAGTGGTCTGGTAGATATCCAGCTCAATTCCGGGGACTGGTTAGAATAGGGTCCCCTACTCCTCCACCATCTTTTCCTATCCGTGAACGCAGTGCTTGGGGGCCCTCCCACGGGCTCTGCCACTTAAGCTTCCGGAAATCCAAACTGGCTATCCATACCCTATGATCTTACTAATATGTGGAATCTAAAAAAAATCAAATGAATAAACAAAAAGCAGAAGCAGACCTGTAAATGCAGAGAACAAACCAATGGTTTCCAGAGGAGAGGGTGGTGGGGAGATGGGCAGCATGGTTGAAGGGGAGTGGGAGGTACAGGCTCCCGGTTATGGGATGAATAAGTCATGGGAATAAAAGGCCCAGCATAGAGAAGATAGCCAGTGGTATTGGAATAGCGATGGTGAGCATGTCATAACTTACAGACTTGTCAAATCACTATGTTGTACACCTGAAACTAATGTAACATTATGTGTCAACTAGACTCAAAAAATAAAAATAAAAAAAGAATGTATGTCCCTTTCCAAGTAGACTGAAGGTGCTCTACTTTTTTAAAGAGATGACTTGTAGGTAGGCTATAAACTTTTCATCTCTAAATGGTTGTAGAAGAGAGGGAGCACTGTAAATGTGACGGCAACATAAAGTGAAGTCCCTGAGGCAAGGCCCAGAGAACATTATGTTAGGAAAGGACCTGGAACCTTGCCTACTGCAAGCACATGTCCACTGTGGGGATTCTGTCCATAGCATCATGCATGTGGTTCTGCAGGGTGTGCCACATCACCTTCGAAGAGGCAGTGCCCAAGTGCTCGTCTTCCTCACATTGACTGAATTATGTCTCTCTTTAGTTTATACACATTTTTCTAATTTTTGTGTTTGAAAACTAATGAAACTCACCTGTCAATACATTTTCAGTACCTGAAGATCAGATAGTATTATTTGTGTTATTTGGAAGTTTCCTCTCTAATCTAATCACAGTACTAGAAACTGTCAGCCACAAAGATGAATAAGATAACAGTCTTTTCTCTGTGGGGACTAATGGTGACAGTGACACATACATAAGAAAGATAGAAAGCAAGGGCAGTATTCCAAATATTTGACAATTGGGGTATGGTCTATCAGGAACAGTGCCCTGGAGCCCCACACCTTTACCCTCATGCCAAGATTAATTCTTTAGTTGATGGATCATGGGAAAGTTCAGGGGATCCCGGGAGAGAGCTGGAGATAGTATTGGAGCAAAGTTTTTTTTTTTTTTTACCAACTAGAATGAAGTAGTTCAATATTTTGAGTACTTATTGCAGCAATAACATTGTATAGTGATTCACAGTACAGATTTGATATACACTATGCAGAATTTAAACAAAAGATAGAAAATGCAGTGAACAAGAGAAATGATAAAGTGGGCAGGGTGGCATTATGGGGACTGTGAAGTTTTAGGTAAGTCCACAGGGGTTGATGTAAATCAGTTGACACAGATCAGCTAAGGAGCTCAATAAAATGCAAATTATGATTAAGTAGGACTGGGTTGGTGCCTGAGATCCTTCATTTTTAACAAACTCCCAGATAATGGCAATGCTGTTTTTTCCTAGGTGACATTTTGAGTGGCAAGGGTGTAGATGACTGGAAAAGCAGATGTGGGCTCAATTGAAATCTAACTTTGTATTTTCTTATTTTTGCAGGTATCTATCGCAGGACAACCAGCAGGAGTAGAATCTGCCCGAGTTAGAATTCGGGTAACTATTTACTACTTAATACTGTAAATCAGTATCGGCAATGGTTGCATCATAAGGCAATAAAAATATCTTAATGTATCAATTTATAACCAAATCATATGTTCAATAGTTAGGAAATAGTGACAGAAGTTGTTTTAATGTGTTGAAGATGTTTCTTAGAGATATTCCAGATTATACCCGACTCTGTTTCTCTGATGATTTTAAAATGATGAAAAAGAGACCCAAGGAAGAATTCCACAGGCAACTGTTACAAACTCTCAGGTTTCACAAAAGACTCCTTTAATTTGAGAAAATTTCCAAAGTCTACCCAAGCTTATGTCTATAATAAAAACAATTTATGTTTTATAATTCCAACCTCAGAAAAGAAGGAATGAGTTATGCACATCTCTAAATGTGTAGTGATTCAGCTGTCTGCTTTGGGCTTGCATACTTTCATTTAGGAGCTGCTTCCTTTGGTGCTGATGTTTGAGCTACCAATCGCTGGGATTCTTCAACCGGTTCCCGATCCTAACTCCCCCTCAATTCAGCACATATCACAAACGTACAACATTTCAGTGTCATTTAAGCAGCGTTCTCGAATGTATGGTGCTACTGTGATAGTACGAGGATCTCAGAATAACACCAGTGCTGTGAAGGTAAGTAATTGAGATAATTATGAACATCATAAGTGTACGAATTATGCAAGTTTTATTTTTATTTTTTTTAGATTTTATTCATTTGAGAGAGAGAGTGAGAGAGTGAGCATGAGGGGTGGGGGAAAGGGAAAAGGGAGAGGGAGAAACAGACTCCCCGCTGAGCAGGGAGCCCAGTGTGGGGCCCGATTCCAGGACCCTGGGATCACAACCAGAGCCAAAGCAGTTGCTTAACTGACTGAGCCACCCCGGTACCCCTATGCAAATTTCATTTTTAAAGGATTTCAAACTAATTCATTTTCCGGAATTTTCCCTTGTATTGCATTTTGGTTTATAGAATGTGTTGAGTTTCTCCATAGCTATTAGAAGTACACTAGAATCTTTCCTTGTATGTGGACAGTTATTCTGTAGGATTATTTCTCTCCTACCTTTTTCTGGTAGGAAGGAACTGCCATGCTGTTGGAACATCTCGCTGGGAGCTTGGCATCAGCTATTCCTGTGAGCACACAATTAGATATTGCAGCTCAACATCATCTCTTTATGATGGGTCGAAATGGAAGCAACATCAAACATATCATGCAAAGAACAGGTGCTCAGATCCACTTTCCTGATCCCAGTAATCCACAAAAGAAATCCACCGTCTACCTCCAGGGCACCATTGAGTCTGTCTGTCTTGCAAGGCAATATCTCATGGTAGGTTTACTGAAATTAGTGTTACAATTTCATTTTATTTTCTTTACTTCTTTGAGTACAGTGTATGTGACGGCACACACCATACTACTGTGGTATTCATGAAAACGCTTCAAAAGCCTTGTCAAATAAGTTTCTTGCTAAAAGGAAATAAGAGTAAAGTATGTAGTGCCTTACAGGCTTCATTTCATTACATAGGCGAGTAATTTCTTTGCAGTATTTTTTTTTTTTTAACTTAAACTAAACACAGAAGGGGATACAATGAAATAATGTGCTGTATTTTGTGGAAGGTGATTTTCATCTGACATGTAGTATTTGTCTGCATTTGACAAAAAAAAGTCTTCTGTTTAAACAGAAAAGTAAAAATACCTTTTTACTCTCACAGATATAAATCTTATTTTTTGATACAAATTTTAGTAGCATGAAACATGTGAACATTTCACAGATCTCTGATACAATTTAAAAAATGGTATTTAAGCCACGAATTTGAGTCTTAATGCATTGAAGAAAATAGCCATTATATAATTCACTATTGCTTCCTACTTAAAATTTGCAATATTTCTGTTCTTCTTATATTCATTTAAAAACAGTGTAGGTTGATACATAGTAACAAAATGGATTGATATAATGTGGACTTACAAATTATCTTATTAAAAACATCCCTGTATTCTCCTGTTCAAGAACTTGACCTTTAGTGATATTTGAAACAGTAAGCCTCAGGTGTGATCTTTACTATTAACTTGCAGAATTTGTTTTTGAGAAACTTTTCAGAAAATGCAATTTTTTGTTTTTTAAGAGAGAGAGAGGAGCACAAGCAGGAAGGGGAGGGGCAGAGGGTGAGGGAGAGAGAGAATCTTAAGCGGGCTCCATGCTCAGCATAGAGCCCAACTCGGGCCTAGATCCCAGGACCCTGAGATCATGACCTAAGCCAAAATCAAGAGTCTGACATTTAATTAACTAAGCCACCCAGGTGCCCCAGAAAATCCAAACTTTTATTTTTGATTGCATTCCTCTGATAGATAAGAACTTGTTATAATCATTAAGGATTATAATACATATTTTGTTGTGAATGATTTCTTTTTAGCCAAGCTTAGTTTATAAGGATATTTTTATTTTTTTATTTTTTTAAAGATTTCATTTATTTATTTGACAGAGAGACAGAGAGAGCACAAGCAGGGGGAGTGGCAGGCAGAGGGAGAAGCAGGCTCCCCGCTGAGCAGAGAGCCCGATGTGGGGCTTGATCCCAGGACCCCGGCATCATGACCTGAGCCGAAGGGGGATGATTAACTGACTGAGCCACCCAGGTGCCCCTATAAGGATGCTTTTAATATACCACTAGTTAGGTAGCATATTTATGTCCAAAGATTATTATGGTTACTCTTCATAATTTTCTTTTTTTCTGCTTTTTCTCTGTAGGTATTATTTTAAGTGAACTTTTTCAGACATTCTGTACAGTTAGGAATTCATACTGTTTGATCATACCTACCAAAAATATAAGTGTGCAATGAGATATAGTATTGTATAATATTAAAAGAAGTGAGGAAGAGAGGGATAAATTAAAAGGCCTTAACCTAGGGGCACCTGGGTGGCTCAGTTGGTTAAGTATCTGACTCTTGATTTCAGCTCAGGTCATGATCTCTGGGTCATGAAATTGAGCCCCATGTTGGGCTCCACACTCAGCACAGGCCCTGCTTCAGTTTCTCTCCCTCTGCCCCTCCCCCAACTCATGCGTGTGCACACACTCTCTTTCTCTCAAATAAGTAAATAAATCTTTAAAAGAAATAAAAGGCTTTAACCTATATTTTAAATACAAAAATCACTTTTATCCACAAGGAAAATGGAACACAGTCATTTCATTTTAATTCCAGTGTATTTGACTGGTACTTCTCCTGACACTTCTGTACAGAACCCAGCAATCAGTGGGCTAGTAGTGAGTGTCCTGGGAATCAGTAAAAGTATGAGATTCCTATAGTTACTAGATTCAGGGCCAGGAAGAAAGCATCAGAGAAACAAACAAGTGCTGACCTCTGCAGAGCTAAAAAGTGAGAAAGCTAAAAGAAGAAACAGTAGTAGCATTTTACTCCAGGAAGGAGGTAAGGTTGGAGCTGCCCCAGAAGAGAGGTAGGTCTTCAGTTGGTGAAGAAACCTCTGGGTGAGTTGAGACCCAAGTACAGAATCTGTTTGAAAAATAGGAGGCTGGTCTAGCCTTTAGGAAGGGGCAGATGTGTGGACATACAGGGCCTGTGACTCATACAAGCAAAGCTGGGCCAAAATGTGGAGATCTTGAAATGCTGGTACATGTTTAGATTTCATTCAGAAGACAGTAAAAACCAGTACTGTAAGTCTTTGAGCAAAAGCACAGGATTAGTGCCCTTGATGTGGTTCAGGGTCTAGTTTCTGGCATCACTAACAGAACAGAAGTCAGAGAATGGAGGAATTTTCCAAGGTGGAAAGTGGGTAAAAAATTTAGGGCCAATAACATAAACTTCAGACACATATTATTTTGTTGTTCAAAAATAGTTTGTGCCCTCAGCATTATTTCCACACCAATTCCCTAAGCTTTGTGAAAGCATGTGATTCACCTTTAATACTTTGGTTTACTCTTTCAGCCCATAGAATATTGCATTATTTGTAGGCATGTTAAATTATCAGATGTTTAAATGAGTAACGTTTTACTTCCTACACTTTCTGTTGTGACATTTCTTAGGGTTGTCTTCCCCTTGTGTTGATGTTTGATATGAAGGAAGAAATTGAAGTTGATCCACAGTTCATTGCTCAGTTGATGGAACAGCTCGATGTCTTCATCAGTATTAAACCAAAGCCGAAACAACCAAGCAAGGTTGGTTCAGAGTCTGGACCCCGAGAACCACATATCGTATCACATTCTAGATAGTTTTATTTTCATATACATGTGTATTTGCATATACATGGAATTAAATATTCTATATAATACATATGTCATTATATATTATACTTTGTTATTTAAATACATAAGTTTGTAAAAACATTCATTATTGATCATCATTTTCTTTATGTGTTAGTTTTGGAGTTCATTTTTAATGACCATTATTTTTTACAAACATGAGAAAGAAAGCAAAGATGTGTTTTTATTAATTTGCAACCTGCTAACTTTCAGCTTTACTGAGTTATCAGAGAGTTGATAAGGCTGAACATTGTGTTAAGTGTGTGTGTGTGTATGTGTACATATCCAGTGCAATTAAAAAATACTTGGTTTACATACTCTTTGTGAGCCACTCTGCTAGCCCTGGAGATTTAAAGAAGAGATGTCCATTCTCCTTAATAAAATAATAAACTAATAATGATAATCAAAAGTAAATAATGACATGTCCCCAGTTCAGCCTTCTTGGAACTTCTCTAAGATGTTGCAAAATTTCAATAATTCCATGTATAGTCAAAATGTAATGGGCTAAACCTGATGATATTAAATGCTAGTGAGAATATGAGGGAAGAGGAATGTTTCTACCTTAATGTCATGTAAATTGGCACAGCCACTTTGAAGAGCAATTTGGGACCTTCTAATCATACCGAAAATACAGATATCCTCCTGCCCACCAGCATTCTACGTCCAGTTAGACACCCTGAAGAGACCTATGTACCACAGTCAAAAGATAAGAATGGTGTGGAATAAAAGAAGCAAGGTGCATAATAACATGTACTAAATAATAACATTTATGTATACTTTTTATTCTAGTAGGTAAAACCCCAAACAGTTGTGCTTTCCATTTTCTAATTTCTATAAATCTTATTATATATGTATCATGGTGTAATATGTATCATAGATGATTTTTATATATGTAAATACCATGGTTTTCAGTGTCCGAATTACGAAAAACAATCATGCCTTCTTCAAAAGAAAACTTTAAAGGAAAAGAGAGGTTTGTTTCTAAGTGAACTTGATATAATGAGTTTAAAGTTAGCAGGACATTAATTTTATGGATTTTCAAGTGTCATGCTTGACTAATTTGACTGGAGTCACTGCAGACACCAAGATTGGAAGATAAAGACAGAAGAGACTTTGTGCATGTGAAGGGTGTCAGGCACAAGCGGAGCTCCTGGAGTTCAGTAAGAAATGAGCCAGGTCAGGGGAGAATAGATTGTAAGTGAGAATTCTGGAGCCTTGTAGCATCCCACGGCCATTTAGTTCTGTCTAGCTGGCCCCAGTGCTGACTACTGCTTTAACTGCTTTTTTAGTCACAAATTTTTTTTATTGCCCATTGGAGCCTCTCCTCTTGAGTTCACACTTCCAGTTTTCTAGATGAGTCCACTGAGAAAAAAATACAGTGTTTAGAAATTTATTTTACCGTAAGCTTTGCCATTGATATGCCATCAGTGAGGAATAGTGGTACCTTAAGGTCTATTAGTTAACTAGGAGACTCTAAATGTCAAATGTAAGTGACTGTTACTATGCAGTCTGTATATGGTGACAAGTTTGATTTGTTTTGTAAAGATGAGATCAAGGAGAAAGCTTTCATGTTAACGGCAAGAGATTGCCAAGAGAATGGGCTGTAGAGGCAGAGGACCCGAGGTCCAGTCCTCTCGCTGCCCCAGCCCAGCAAGGCCATGACCAGTGGTAGGTCCCTTATCCTCACTGAATGTGAATCATAATTCCCATCCAGAAGGTTTCTGGCAAGCATCAAGATTTATGTACAGCTTCTATCCCAGTGCCTGAGACACAGGACACACCCAGTAAATTATAACTAACCCTTTATGGTTTTACCACAAGGAGTAAACATAAGAAATAAGTGGTTAGAATTTTTAGTTGATTTTAAAACCACATCAATATATTCCTTGTTGGAATCCTTATTACCATATTCATTTCTAACCCACCTCCCCAATTCACTCTAGACTGTTTGCATGTCACCTTTTTCTTTCCCATTGTGTGTTTTCATAGTCTGTGATTGTGAAAAGTGTTGAGAGAAATGCTTTAAATATGTATGAAGCAAGAAAATGTCTCCTCGGACTTGAAAGCAGTGGGGTTACCATAGCAACCAGCCCGTCCCCAGCATCCTGCCCTGCCGGCCTGGCATGTCCCAGCCTGGACATCTTAGCTTCAGCAGGCCTTGGACTCACTGGACTAGGTATAAAATTTATTATTATAACGCTTCTCATTCACTGGGGGATTGCTTAGCTAGTTCCCTTTCTTTCTACCATTTGGGGCTACATTTTAAAGCCTATTTTTTCCCTTGTCAGACCTTAAGATTAGGTGAAAAAGCAACAAAACTCACATCAATCCATTTTGGGTTTTTTGTTAGACCCCATAGATTTTTTTTACCTAGATTCTTTTTATTTGGGCATAAATAATCAAGGTCTGACTTTTATTTTCAGTGGCTGTGTTTGTTCTTCTAAATTAAGAATGCCATTGAGAGTGAAGTGAGCAGGCTGACTGTAATTTATGTGTTTGTTCTCTCTTGCATTTGCAATATTGCCATCCATCCCTAGAGGTAAAGATTACCCAGTTTGCTTTTCAAAACGTAATTGCAAATCTGTATGAGGGGTAGTGAGAGGGAGAGGTGAAAGCGAGCAGAGCCCCCACTCCCAGTGGTCAGAACTGCATCATCCAGACACAAAGGAAATCTAGCCTGCAGCTACCAAGAGGAGCAAATAGACCTGTATTTATATCTAAGGCAAAGGATAGAAGATGAAAGAGCATCATCCCCTCAGTGCTTTAGTTCTTTGAGAAAGTGAGGTGAGGCACTTCATAGTTGTGATATGTACCACCTCATTTATGGATTCCTGTCTAACAGGCTAGAGTTCATTGCCATATTGCAGTTATGCTAGTTCACTACTTTCTTGCACATTTTTCAGTAGCCTTAATATAAAAAGTGAATGTAATAACCCTAGAAAATAATTTGCCTCATTCAGTATTGATCTGAGACAGAAAAAATACTCTCAGCATTCTGTAAATTTTTTTTTCTAATAGCTATTTCTTGCTTTTAAAAATTATATGGTTACAATATGATTAAGATTCTGGGTAGCCCTGTCTAGACACCATTACAGTAAAGACAGACACTTTTCCCCTTGGTCTCTGATCTCCCAAAATTGTCCCTTCCACTGGAGATCTGAACACTCATAACAACACATGCATGTGAGTCAGGAAGCGCCCCTGAGATAATTGAGCAGGAACCAAGTTCTTCCTGCACCAGTGAAAAGATTCAGTTACTCATTGTTTAAAATGTTTTCATGTCTATTCCTATCCTGTAATACTTAATACTTAAAATATTCCTGGGAAGTTATATGCAACTTCATATTTTGCTTTAGAATATATTTAAATGCCTGAAGGGAAGTTTCATTACTTAAATCAAACATTAAATCCTTAAAAGAAGCAAAAAACAAAAAATTGTTTCAGAGGAAAGTTTTCATACTCATTGAGATGGACCATGGACCACAGGAAAGTCGTGTGTTTTGACACAGTGAATGCAAACTGTTCCAAGTAGCTCGACCTCTCCACAAATGGGCCGAATGTAGTCATTCTGCGGCAGGAGAACATTCCCCTGTTCTCTGCTAATAGTAAGTGGTTTGAAAAGAGTTTGTTTGGAAACAGAAAACAAGTGAGTTATACAGAGAAATAAAAATGAGTCTCCACTTGAGCAGAAGTTTGTTCATCCTGGCTCGTCAAAGTGAGTGCAAAGCAGCTGGTACTGCTCGGTGACCCTGACTGCCTCCCTGGTTTACATACACCTAACTTCCCGTTCTGATCAGCATCTGTTTGTAGATAGTCCGGGTTCTGTGTTGGAGTTGTAGCATGCAGTATCTCCTGTGAATATTTAAAAGAAGGTAATCTGTCACTCATATTATATTTGGGAAATATTAGACTATCTCAGTGTGCATTTCGAATATTGGTGCCATCTGTATTTTTAAATCTTGAATTTATGCATATTGACTTCGCATTCATTTATTGCAGGTCTTTTGGGGCCTACCACCTTATCTCTAAACACATCAACAACCCCAAACTCACTCTTGAATGCTCTTAATAGCTCAGTCAGTCCTTTGCAAAGTCCAAGTTCTGGCACCCCCAGCCCCACGTTATGGGCACCCCCACTTGCTAACACTTCAAGTGCCACAGGTGAGTATCCTGTAAGTACAATCAAAGGCATGTGGTTTTAGGTGTCCGTTTTTAAATAAAATTTACTAGTGGCTCTTCTCCTTAGGGAAAAATTATGGTTCAAAGCATACTGCAGCTAAACAGAAACTCCCCAGCGTGTAAATTAGTTAAAATGAAGCATGACAAAGCAGTGAGTTTTTCATGAAAGTAGAATATGATCTTCAGACATGACAAACACATCAGGAAAAAGAGTATGATGAGCAAGGAAGCAGTGGCAAAGACACATGAAGCTCACCTGCCTGGTAATTAGGAAATGCCAGTTCCATGTGGACAAATGTGCTTGACAGGCATATGCACATGCGAAATCTAGCTAGTTTCCTCAGCAGTACAGTGAAGAACTTCAATTAAATATTCTCTAAAGTCTTCTTCCATTTGAACATTGCTCTGTGTTTTTATAGTAATGTTAAACCTAGTTACAGAGAAGTATCAAAACTGAATTCTCTTACTGAATTTGTAGCAACAGAGATGAAGTTTTTTGTTTTTACTGAAAATAATAAAGTAATATTTGTTGAATCTGAGTTTTTTCCTGTCTAATATCTGTCTTCATGAAATGTCATTGTAGGTTTTTCTGCTATACCACACCTTATGATTCCATCTACTGCCCAAGCCACGTTAACTAATATTTTGTTGTCTGGTGTACCCGCCTATGGGCACACAGCTCCGTCGCCCCCTCCTGGCTTGACTCCTGTTGATGTCCATGTCAACAGTATGCAGACAGAAGGCAAAAAAATCTCTGCTTCTTTAAATGGACATGCACAGGTAATGTCCTTTGCTAGAGTAGTGTGATCTATGCTGTTTGTAAGAGATAAGCCACTGGTAATATGTTTAAACTTTCACCTGAAATGAATTTTAGAATTGTGACCATATCTGTATGTTATTTTCTGTTATCATTTTAGTCTCCAAATATAAAATATGGTGCAATATCCACTTCGTCACTTGGAGAAAAAGTACTGAGTGGGAATCACAGTGATCCGTCTAGACAGACAACTGGACCTGAGCAGGCATCTCCCAAATCAAACCCTGTGGAAGGTAACTTTCCTTCTGAACTTCATCCTGGTCTGTTACTTGGATAAAGGGGGTTGTAAAGTCTTTGTGGTGATTTCAAGTTGGTTTTGCTAACCATTTATGACTCATCCTGCCTCAAGTATGCAGAAAGACATCTTGAATGAAATTCCAAAGAACACAGGGAAAGATAAACTGAAAAACACTTTCCACAGAAAGAATCACTTCGCATTACATTGGAACGTCAAAATTAAAGTGGATATAATTGTGTAAGAGGAAAGCATCAATTTACTAAATGTTTATAATTTTTTTCCAAGTAGAGTATTTCTTTTTTTAAAACCCTTTCACCCCTAATAATCTTTTTAAAATGTGAGGGTCTTCTCTTTAGATTTCATCTTGAATGAAATTTGGGGCAGCCTGAATTTAAAGTGTCGTCTTTGCAGCTGAAAGCTGTTATGCCTGGGTCTCCCTTGAGTTGGGTTCTGATTTGTTTCCATCGCAGGTGGTTATTGATGATAAGGTGACTTTTGGATTTTCACTTTATCCCTTCTGCAGGTTGTAACGATGCTTTTGTTGAAGTAGGCATGCCTCGAAGTCCTTCCCATTCTGGGAATGCTGGTGACTTGAAACAGATGATGGGTCCCTCCAAAGTTTCCTGTGCCAAGAGGCAGACAGTAGAACTGTTGCAGGGCACAAAAAACTCACACTTACAGTATGTATATTAATCTTTAAAAGTCCTTGATCCTTTGAAAGAAAATGTCTAACAGGCTGGATTTGTTTGAAACTCAGTAGTTGGTATTCTTTGGTTCAAGTGAGTTTGATCTTCTCCAAGAGTGTTTTTTATTTTTCTTTATAATTATCTTTTCTTTTTCCTTTTAAAAATTCTATTAAGGAATACCATCTGATAATTTTCATTCTTATATCTTCTCAATAGTGATTGGGTTCGTATCTGGGTTCTCTAAACCATCCCTGTGCTCTGGAACTTTAACATCCTCCCTGCTCTTCAGCAAAGCAATATTTACTCTGATGTTTCTGTTAGAAATTTTCCTGCTGTGAATTCTCCTTCATTTGGCTTTGAATTTCTAACTTAAACTATGGCTTCCTTGTTCCAAGGCAGTTAATTGCTGACTTTGGTAATAAATACTTGACAGTTTCATGATTTTATTTATTACAAACCACAGTGAGTATAAATGCATATATTGTAGTAACTGTAACTCCCCGTACAATAATAGCACAGTTACAAATGTCTTATCCTTACTCTATTTTCTTTTTCTATTTACTTTATTTTTTTCAAATAGACAATCTATTCACACTTAAAAAAAAAAAGGCAATACAGTGGAATGCTTCTATGTTGAAAGATTTTGCTCCCATCCATCTCCCTCCACCCAATTTCCTCTACTGTCTTATTAGTTTTCTTGTATATTCTTACAGAGGAGAGTATCTTAAGACAAATATAGCCTTTATATTTTTATTTCCTGTGTTTCTTACCAAAATCTGTTTTGTTTTTATAAACTCTTTGGTCAGTTAATTACTCTTGTTCCCATTTCGTCCAAATCTGCTTTATCTGCATTTTTCCTTACATGGTACTAGTAGCTACGGTGAACATTATTCAGCATAGGTTAGAGAAGTAAATTTGCTTTCTTCACTGTGTTGAAGCATTTGAAGGGTATGCCTGTTCTTTTCATCCTTAAATAGGTTCTGAACTTACCTCTCATCTAAATTAAGCTGCAACCTCCAGAATGGTCTCTCTGCCTCTACCCTTTCAGCAGCTCAGTCAGTCCTTTATTTTGTTCCAGCAATTTTTTTGAACACAGAAGTCTGATCTTGTTACACTCTGGCTTTGAATACACCAGTCGTCCACGTTGCTTGCTTCCTTTGCTTTGCTTACGCTGTTCTCCTGGCCCTCATGCTGCCAAACCTGCAGAGGCCCTTTACATTCAGTTCTGATGTCCTGTGTGAAACCATCAAAGTGCAGTGCTCCTCCTCTTATATTCCAATAGCCTGTTCTCAATTCCTCTGAATTCCCCTGGCACAATGGAACAGTGAATGACAAAAGAAAGAATGAACAAATCAGATCAGCTCTTCGACTAATACTGTTTATTTCTCTTTTACTTGAGCTTAACATACAATTTGATTTGAACTTGAGGTGCATGTATAGGGCATTACCAATCTTGCAATTCAGATAATTTTCCTATTTTAAGGGTCATTTTTATGTTCATCTATGCACCCTGAACAGGTTTGGGGAAATATTTATTTATCTGATACCTGTGTCATAGTAGATTTGTTAGCAATACCATATGCATTTCACATGCAGGAATTGGATCATCTGCATGCCTTCAGATTGACTTGTTTCTGCTTAGACTGCATATGCATAAGTCATTGCTATCTCTTTGATGTATGCAAATTAGAAATCTTGTCCGTGTGTCTATTCTGTATGTACCACAGACATACACCATATATACGACATATAATGTTTGGGAAAATATATCACGAAATAGTTTCAACTCCAGCTCTAGAGTCATATGCTTGGGTTAAAATTCCAGCTGTACCATTTACTAGAGGTATGACCTTGGGTAAGGTATATCCTTTATCTGTAAAATGGGAATATTACTACTACCTACCTCAGAGCAGTGTTGTGAAGATGAAATGATATAACACATGTCAGTAGTTGACAGTAGTAAACATATAGTAAATGCGCACACAGGAAATGAAACGTTCAGTATGTTTGTATATAAACATGGAGTGTTAAGTTCCAAACTGTCTCACAGCAGCACTGACAGGTTGCTCTCCGACCCTGAACTGAGTGCTGCAGAAAGCCCTTTGGCTGATAAGAAGGCTCCTGGAAGTGAGCGGGCTGCAGAGAGGGCCGCAGCTGCCCAGCAAAACTCTGAAAGGGCTCGCCTAGCCCCGCGGCCATCATATGTCAACATGCAGGTAATGAGGAGAAACGGGGGAGTCATCCAGATGTGGGGTGGTAGGGTTAGGGAATGGGGAATTCAGCAAATGTTTAGCAATAGAGTAGAAATTTGGTTTTCCTTCAGCACTCTAGTCAGAATTAAATTTAAATATATATGTAGTAGTTAGGAATTGGTTTTGCCATAAACATTAAAAATGAAAAGGTTGAGTGAGAATTCTTTAAAATATCATATTAAAATTCACATAAAATGTTCTGTGTTACTATGTCTTATGCAAATGATAATATTTCTCTGTTACTTAAAGTTTAGATAAATGTGAAAGCTGTTACTTGTAAGTATTACTACCTCATAACATAGTCTTGGATAAATATAATATCTTTCTATTTAAAGGAGATGATAAATTTGGTGTCATTTAGATAGTTATAAAAATAACTAATGTGATGCTTTAGGTTTTTGAAAGTAGATGCTAAATATTATTGATGACTATGTTAGTTTTGAGATTTTTATGATTATTTTAAACACTTTCCTCAGCAGGGATCTTCTCTGTATCCATTTTTAAAGTATTAGGCTAATTACTCAAAATAGACTATTGATCATAAAATTCAGAAATTTGATTTCCATATAAACCACAATATGGGAGAGAAGGATTTTGTACTTTGTGCTTTTAGAGACTCTTATAAACATTTGATTTCAGTATCAGAATTACTGGGTAGACTTTCCTACTTCATAGTAAAAGATTTATTATCCCCAAACCCCCCACCTCCCCCAAAAAGGGAAAAGCTTTTCACAGAATCCTAAAAACAAGCTGTCATAGCTGTGTCAAAGAAAGTAATTCATGGGGCGCCTGGGCGACTCAGATGGTTAAGCGTCCACCTTCGGCTCGGGTTATGACCCCAGGGTCCTGGGATCGAGCCCCGCATCGGGCTCCCTGCTCCGCGGAAAGGCTGCTCCCCTCCCTCTCCCTCTCCCTCTGCCCCTCCCCCTGCTCATACTCTCTCTCTCTCTAGCTCTGTGTCCCAAGTGAATGAATAAAATCTTTAAAAAAAAAAAGAAAATTCATGTAACTAAGTTATACTTCTGTAATTTTAGTGAGAACAGTTCAATCCTGCTTGTCTGTTTTTTAATCCTTCGCATTTGAACATTTTCATGAGTTATTAGATGAATGTTTTTATATAACCTATGTCCTTTATAAAGTGTCAAAGTTAAAAGAAAAGACATTTGTTACATTTTCTGTGGTGGATTTATTTTCAGTTAATATAAATTAAAATTGTCTTACATAATTATTCAATCCCCTGTATGATCCCTTTTGATTTTGGTCCATCTTTTGGTTCTCTTCTTTTCCATCAAGTTTATACCTAGTCAGCCATTTTCACATTCCTTTCTTTTAGGATGGATGAGAATGTTCTTGGTGATAGAGTTTCAACTTAAATAGATGTATTTATGCTACTAATGAAGAGCGAACTTTTAAAATCACGAAGAACTCAATGATAATAGTCACCAAGCACTGACAGAGAAAGACTGAAGACTTCTCTGATTCCTGCAGCTAAAAATGATCTCTGTCTCCTGACCCTTCTTGGAATGCTGTATCTCTAGCTCTCTCTTCACACTTACCTCACTTCCTAATTTATTTTGTAGTTAGTTTTTTTTTTTTTTTACACATCCCTGCTAAGATTCTATGTGTTTTGAGGCTCGAGACCATTGTTGATTTGTTGTTGTATTCTACAAAGAGCAACATAATCTCTTTAACCAGAACACACTCAATAAATATTTATTGAACAAGTGAATTTAGGATCTAATCATTAAAAGTTGATTTTAATTCCCAGTGCCATTTTAGACCTAGGATTTCAAAAACATTATCAAAGTGTGTTATCTAAAAATCTAGCTCTCCTGACTTACTATCATGTTCTTGGAGTTAATCACGCATCCTAGTTTGTGTGGGTCAGCCCATTTATTTTTATAATTCTGGCCTGATTTTTATTTGTAGCCCATTTCTCTCTCAGAAGTGTCCTGTTTCAGACCATAAATTATATGGACACGCTATATACGCTAGTATAGTCCTCCTAAAAGAAGGGTCAAAAGAGCTCTCACCAGTTGGTTCTTGGCCTTCCTGGTAGGCCTTTAAGACATTCTTAAATCAAACCTTAAATAGTCCCTAAATTGGAGAGCTGAGAACACTGTTTGCATTTGAGATGTAGCTATGTCTGGACTGCTTTCTTCAAAATGACCTATCTTGGTCCTCAGTAGACCTGCCTATGACTGAAGTCACTTATTCATTGTGAATGGAAAGAATGAATGGTGACATCCTAGTCCAGTACAAGAAGAGGTAGCTAGGTTTAATTTTATTGTATTGCTTAATGTCATTACAGATCAAAGCTAGATATTTGTTATTTATGTCCCTTCAAAAGCAAAGACTGTGCCAATTAGGCTAAATAATTTAAGTTGTCTTAACATCAACCCATTTCAGGCCATGCTTTACTTAAGTGAGGAGGGGATGTAGAGAAACAAAGAGGCCAGCTGATAATCAGAAAACATTTTGGTAATGCATTATTTTGAAACTTAGCCTAACTATTATTGGGTTATTCACTATACTTTAGCATCTATTGGTCCTGGTATGTTAAATATTCACAGTAAATAGGATTTATTTCCCTTTTGAAGGAAAATTTCTAATTCTTGTCACTTTCATGTTAGAAGTAGTTAATTTATTCTAATTAATTAGTTTGAAAACATGTTTAAATTTATCAGACTTCTAAGAACTACATTACTGTCACAATATGGTGCAAAGCTTAGCATGTGTCCCAGGCAGATTCATGGGCTGTAGTCAGAACCTTTGTTCTCTAATTATGAGGTATTGGCAAGACATTTGGATAGACTGGCAGTAAAGATATTTTCTCTCTTTTATTTTCAGGCATTTGACTATGAACAAAAGAAGCTATTAGCAACCAAAGGTATGTGCTATGTTAATGACCTATACTTTGATTTTTTTTTTTTCTAGGAGACCATAAAAACTTTCCTAGTAGTCATGTTGAATTGAGAAATTGGACCTTCATAAAAAGAAACCTAGAATGTTGAAGTTCAAATTGCACAAATTTTGTTGGGGATGAATGTATTTTGTTGAATAGATTAGCATTAGCGCAATTAAGAAATAATGTAGCATTTTTCAATTTACTGTTACTTTGTACAAAATATTTTATGAAGATATTTTAAGGTATTTTGTGTTAAGAAATAATATGCAGTGATAATTTCTTTACATATATCAAAGAAATAGCATTCATCAATATTTTATTTTAGAAAAACATTAAAAATACCAAACGTTTTTTTATATGCTGTTTCCCAAAGCTATGTTAAAGAAACCAGTGGTGACGGAAGTCAGAACACCCACAAATACCTGGAGTGGCCTCGGGTTTTCTAAATCCATGCCAGCTGAAACTATAAAGGAGCTGAGAAGGGCCAACCATGTGTCCTATAAGCCCACAATGACAACCACTTTTGAGGTTCGTAGTGTTATGCCTTACCCATTCTTCCTGTCTGTTCTCTCAGCAAACAAGAGGTACCATTCTTTATTTACATAAGGAAAAGTTGTTAATGGTGATTTGTTCTAATTTCTGTTCCTGTAAACATTTTGCTATCGAATTGACACAATCTAATATATTATGGTCTTTATGTACCTTCTCTCAAAGTTGTTGATCAGCTGTTAAAGAGATGTAAATTTGGATAAATGTGTTTTTGTTACGGGGAGAGTGTCACAAATGATAGAGCAGGGCTGAGATTAAGCAAAGGACAGATGTAATATTCCATAAAAATGTATAAAGAATCCCTTTATTTAAGGGTATCAACCACTAGCAGAACCACTATAGGGGAGAAAAGGAAAATACTCAACAAAAATAAGTTTTCAGATATGAGTTAAAAATTTAGCATGTTCAGATGTGCCAGGAACACAGCAGGAAGTATCATAAACAAGCGCTCCAAAGTTTTATGTTTCCCAGATGTTGGCTGCACTGCTCAGGGTGAGACTGGGAAGCTGGCATCCTTGCCGTATGGGGAGAGGATCCAGCGTTCCATACTTCTCAGCCAGGCTGCATGTGACTTGCTAAGCAAGGCCTTTTCAGTCCGACGGTATCAGATTTTGGCTGTAAGCCTTTTGCGAGTTGGGGTAGAATTAGAGCACACATATGCACAGTCAGTACTGGGGAGAGTATACAAACCCAAACGTGGATAAAAATCATCAGTCCAAGAATCACAGTGTTCAACCAGAACACTGTAGGCTGAGAAACAAATACTGGTTAAGGGTTTCATAATTGTTAGTCTAATAACTAGCAATTGTAGATTGACCTTCTTTTCTCCACCAATTTTCCTTGTAATAAATTAGACTGTTGATGAAAGGCAAAAGCAAACATGCAATTTTTTCCCATTGTTTTTAAGTGTAAAAGAAAATACTAAAAAGAACAGTCTCTTACGAATTTCATTGTCAGACTTAACAGTAGCAACCTGGCAGCCTGGATTTAAAGACTGAAGTTACTGTCAAGCAGCCAGAATGTAGGAACAATTATGAAAAATTTTGAGGCTCTAGGAGGCACACTCCTCTTTCTGCCATTATAGCTCTGAGAGAAAATAAGCTTTCCTTTTGTTGGCAAAGACCTTAAAACTGCTGTGCTGATTCTTAGGCTTTTAGTTGATGCACCTATGGTCATCAGTTTCAGTCACCCTTGCCTTTGGCGGAGTGGAGTGTTAGGTGGTTGATCGTGTTTCTGTAGTTTCAGAGACGAAATATTTTACCCTAGAAATGCTAATTCAGTTGTGTTCTCAAAGACCAGCAGCATTACCGGTTGAAATGATCATTCTGATAATGTAGTAGTCAAGTGAACGGGCTATGGGGCCTGATAGCCACCACTGATACATGGACACCTCTGAGGAGTGACTTCTCCCCTCTGAACCTGTTTTCTCATTTGAGTTGTTTTGAGGATGACCTGGAAGAAAGTGTCCAATATGTAGCATGGTGTGTGGTAAGTTCTCATAATATTGAGCAGCTACTATTCTTTCAAATGGAGAACTTTACCCTGAAGAAAACCAAGCACTGGCTGAAAGTTGAGATTATGTATATGAAAGCTCTTTGCTGGAAGTATTATTCCACATTCAAACTAGATTTGCTTTTTATATCCAAAGGAATACCTCAGAGTATTATATGAACACATAGTGTGCTAAGAACAATTATCTTAAATCACATAATTTATTTCTTTGTGATTTATATGGTGCATTTTTATCCACAAGCTTATTCAGAGCTACAAGCTCCCAGTGAGGAAAGACAGGCCCTGATCAGTTAAGTGTCTTACTTGAGGTCATGGCAGTAGGTGTTACAGAAAGGACTTGAGTTTATTTTTTAAAAATTTCCTTATAGTTCTCTTATTAATGGTTTAACCCAAGAGGGTACATAGCAAAGGTGATAAGTAAATGATCTAGAACCATGTTGCCATAGCTTAACAGATAGAAGATTCACTTTGGAGAGCTTGGTAGAAATGCACATACTTCCTTCAGGAACTCATTCATCAGATAAGGAGAAGAATCAAGAATCTACATTTTCAGCAAAAGCCTAGTATGATTCTGATGCTGACACCCTTCTAGAAACACTGCTCTCAAGGGGTGTAACACTAGGAGGATGATACAGAAGTTATTTCAGAACCTAAAAGACTCTTCTGCTCCAGCCCCTGTCCAAGGATAGATAGACCACTTTCTGGAGGCAGAGATGTGCAGGATCCCAGCTCAATGGCTGAACTCCCTCCTGTGGCTTTTCTTGCTTTGGCTATCTTGGGCTAGCCTGTTCCCCCCTTCCTGGCTAATGTCTAGCACTGGAAGATGGGGGAGAGGGTGTGAGCAGCTAGATCAGCCATGGGCATGTTTTTATTTACAGCCCCTTCAACAGTGCTGATGAAAAGATATAACCACACTTTCTTTGGTAATGGTGTTCTAGATTTTCCCTGTTGTGTAAGACTTGAACCTTTCCCCCATGCATCCCAAATCCATTGAAAGGGGATGAAAGGGTCCCTTACAATAGTAAGATCTAATATTATGCAGCAGTTGCTATCTGCACATGCATGCCTTTCCCTTTATTCAGCTATAGGTCAGAGGGCTTAAAAACTGAGCAGTGAGGATTGCTTCTTTGGGTTAGGACATAGGGATGGGGTGGGATGGAGAAGGACCTGGGGAAAAACAGAACTTAAAATTTTTTATTAAAGGATTAACCACATCTCTGCTTACAGCACTAATATTTTGAAATTAGAAGGTGGCAAGAAACACTCATTTTTCCTTATTCTTTTCCAAACAAAGCAAAACAAAACCAAATGGACAAGTAGAATGCTGATCTATGAGAAGAAGCATGTTTAGCCAATAGGTTCTGATGGGTGTGGGCTGCTCACTCAGTGCGCCAGGATCAAGGCACACAGAATTTCCTGCTCTAGGAAGCTTGCCTGAGGCAAGAAGTTGATGCTTTGAGCTTCTTATTCAGATTTCTGAGAAGCTAGACTTGAGCAGTTGTTTCCAGTTTTTTTAGGGCAGCTTTGAGAAATGAGCCTGTTCCAAAGAGCTCCTTCAGATAAGAAGCAGGCAGCTTGAGGCATTCTTTTGTTTTCTCCAAGACTCAAAAATATGACCCTATCCACTTGATCAAATATTGAGACACAAAAGGTTAAACAAAAGGCTGCTTTGACCTACAATATCTCTGTCACATCAACAGAACTACAAAAGGTCTGGGATTTTCCTTCTCTGTTTGCTACCCATCTCTGCCGCATATTCTCTGAAGCAAATAAAAACATGCATTGGGAATCAAAGATGGTTTTTAATTTCCCCACCACTAAGAGTAATGAGGTTGTCTGATTATTTTAAGTCTTACAAATCCAAGAATGGAGATGAGCTGTACTTTGTGATACTTTAAATTAGTGAGTAGATAATGAACTGATATCACAAGATTATGTTTTACTTAATGTTTTTAGAAATCACCATGTTTAGCCAGGTCTGATAGAGCTGTGTGCATTGTCTGCTTAGATCTTAGATGAATGTATTTTTATACTCAAAAAGAGTTTAGGTGCAGAATTTTAAATAACATATAAATACTACAGTAATCTCATTGACATTTTTCTGGTAGTTGCCAGTTTTGAGCATATTCTTATTTCCCTTGCTACACTGGATTTATCTTGGTTGAAGTAAAATATTAAAGATGGTTTTAACTGAAAACACCATTTCTTTGGTCTCAGGAGGCTTCCTTCTTCCCTCTGCCCCTTCCCAAAAGTCAGCAAAGGGCATCCCATAGATGTAGGAAAAGGTATCTATAGATTAATTCCACAAATATTTATTAAACACCTTCTGTGTTCTCGACACAATTTTAGGGATACAATGCTTGAACACAGGTTCTTGGTTTCATGGAGAGAACTTTCTTCTGGTGTGTACAGAGAGATACAAAACAAATAAACAGGAAGTCTTTAGGTAATAAAAATCCCTGATAAATATGAAACAGAGACTGCTTTAGATTCGGTTGTCATAGCAGGCCTTTATGGGCAGATGACATTTAAGCTAAGACCTACATGACAAGAAAGGCCCAGCCTTGTGAAGATCTAGAGAAACAGTAATAGGCCTTGATCACCTGAAGTCAGAACCAGCTGGTAAGTTCATGGAGCAGAAGCTGGGTAGGGTGGTGGAGTGTTGAAGACTGAGAGTTAGAGAGGCAGGGGATCAGTTAGGGAGCACCTCAGCCCATGGCAAAGTACTGGAAAAGCATTATAAGACTATACAGAAGGTATCATTTGTTCTAATTTGCTTTTAAAAAAATCAACCTAGTTGCTTTATGGAAAATGGGTATTGGGGTAGGAGGCAAGAGTAGAGTAAAATGTTTGTAAGGAAGCAATAGGTGACAGTTGTGGAGATGGAGAGAGGTGGGTAGATTTGGGGTATGTTTAGAGATGACATCAATAGAACTTGTTGATGGATTTGATGTGGTGGGGGAAGGAGGGCTGAGAACAACTCAGAAGCTCTGGGTGAGATGTAGGAATTCTGGGGGAGGAGTGTGTAGGGGTGTAGCTAGTGGGGATGAGTAATCAACAATTCAATTTCAAGCACTCTAAGTTTAAAATCCCTACAGGACAGTAAAATGGAATGTCAGATTGGCAATTCCATGATTATAAATTTCAATAGGGAAGTCAAATCTGGAGGTAAAAAGTTGGAAGTCATAGTTGTCATTAAGCTCGGAAAGAGGTTGAGATTACTTAATGAGAAAGTGTAGAGAGAGATGAAAAGGAATGCTAGGGCCAAGCCCAGGGTAATGTGACATTTGGAGTGGAAAAGGGGAAGAAGATCCTACAAAGCTGCAGGGAGTAGCCTGGGAAGTGTGGTCATGATGCCTTGAGGAAAAAAGTGTTAAAAAGGGAGGGCATGGTTATGCTGCTGTGAGACTGAATTAAGTGAATTTACTGAATGGTGAAAAATTCTCTTAGAATTCCCCAACAAACATACTACTTTGAAAATCAGAGAATCCTGACTTGAATACTATAGATACAGTACAAAGAAAAGTACCAGTGATTAAATAAATGAATAAATAAATGCAAATTCAGTGCAAATGTTGAGATCTTTTAAATTTTTATTTTTATTTGGGGGGAATTAAAAAAGGTAAATTTTTTCAGGTATTTGTAATTTATTGGAAAGACCCTATCATTCTTTGGATGAGGGTCACATGGAAGAGATGGCAGCCCTCTCTCCACTCTGACTCACTTCTATTCCTGTCAAAGCTTTGGGTCTAGCCACACCATCTTCCCGTTTGTGCTTCGTAGGTGATCCAAGGCAGAGAATCTCTGCTATACCAGCTGGAAGATTTGTTTTGTGGTTCCCCAAAATAGGGAGGACTCTCAGTATCCACTGCTCTAAACCTTATAGGAGCAAGTCTTTATACTGGGGGCTTTCAGAACTCTGTTGGGCACTCTGATAATGAAGGGGAAAGACTTCACTGTGTATATTACCAGGTGTCCTTGGTGGTTGGAGGACAGAGGCTATATAGACAGGTACCACAGACTCTTGAGAATCAGGATGTGTGGGAACCTACAGTGGTTAACAATAGAAGTAATTGGTGATGGTCTAATGTAGATTCTTTTCTCCTTAAATCTCAGGAAAGCTACCTTATTAAATATGTCCTCATCTGGTTTTGATTATTTACAGGGCTCATCAATGTCCCTCTCGAGGTCCAACAGTCGTGAACACTTGGGAAGTGGAAGTGAATCTGATAACTGGAGGGACCGAAATGGAATAGGACCCCCGAGTCCTAGTGAATTTGCAGCTTCTGTTGGCAGCCCCAAACGTAAACAAAACAAATCAAGTGAGCTTTGACTTTTTATCATACTTTTAGATATAATCAGTCTAGAATTTGTCTATTTGATTTAGGGTGATGTTCAAATATAAACTCTGGACCCCCTGCCTTCAAGTATTTGGCATAATCATATGCCACTCCTCTGTGAAGCCTTCCCTATTTTTCTAGGTGAAGTAGATAGTGCAGTTCTCTGCTTCCACTGCCTTTTGTCTGTGCTTTCACTTAGCACTTGTTATACTTACACTTTTATACTTGTGGAGAATTTGAGCTTTACAAGCTAGGAAACACATTCATTCATTCAGCAGGCACTTACTAAGTGCCCGTGTGCTGAGCAGTCTGTTAGGCTGCGCCTTGTTTGTTATTTCTTCCCAAATGTCTAACAGTTCTGACACTTACTAGGCACTCAGTAAATGTTTGTTGAATGAATGTATGGATGAGTCACGCTCACACAAACATTCAGATGATGAGGAAAAGATGACGATGGAAAGGAGTTGAGCCGAATGTGATCACATTAGCATCTTGGAAAATAGAAGTAAGTCTGCCCGGTGGATAGCTACTAAAGGTGAAGGGCAAGATCTGATTTTTTTAAACTGGCAAGATACAGCCGAATTGGCATAAATAGAAAAAAGAGTTTAAAGCACAGAGGCTCTGGCTTTGAATAAATGTGGTTGAGACTCAGAACAAGTCCAGTGGTTTCGTCTGTAACAGCACCCACACTTCTGGGCTGTATAACTAAAATAGGTAAGCAGACGAGAATTGACAATAGTAATCACAAGATAGGCCCCTAATGGCCTTTTTCAAGGATTTTGATGACTCTGGAATCGTGAAACACATAGTGTGGAGTATCTGAAGAATAGTTGAAGAAAGGCAATCTGAACGAGTGTAGTAGACGTGGTCTACCGTCAGTTGTTACCGTCAGTCAGGTCGGCCATGTTGTCAAGAGTCTCAGATTTGAAAAGGACGGTCATGGTGTCAGCCAAGTCAAAATAAAACATAATGCAAGTATACTGACAGCAGTAGCCTGGATACTTGTCCAGCAGGGCACCCCACCACTACACAAGCGTGGAGCCGAGAGGCGGGCTGGTGCTGGATGCAGATCTAGGGCTGGAAATGATCTCTGCTCAGTATAAATTTGTTTTGTGCCTCTCTTTTTCTGTCTTTATCTCCTTTCCCTTCACTTAACCCTGGATAATTAAAATCGACTATGCAACTTCGCTGCATTGAAGTTCAGGATGATTAGAGTTCAGATGGGGAACTCATTAATAAGAAAGAATGATAAAGGAAACAGAGTTGGTTGCCTTTTGTTAGATGTTTTAAGAGCAGAGGGAGTTTAAAACAATATAGAAACTACAAGTAGTTAAGATAAAAAGAAATATAAAGGAAATTATGTACCATAATATCACTAAGAATATTTTATTTTAAAACATCTTTTTTTTCACACTTTACTAATATATTTGCTTAACCCAACGGTATGTAAAATATTATCATTTAAACATGTAATCAATATAAAGACGTTTTTATGAGATATTTTACATTCTTTTTTTGTGCTGTCTTCAAAATCTGGTATGAGCAGATTTTATAATCTTACAGAACATTTTCATTCCCACTGCCCACATTTCAGGTGCTCAGTAGCTACATGTGGCCAGTGGTTACTGCATCAACAGCACGGTTTTAGATAATTTTTCTTGACACTCTTTTCAAAATCACCAATGTCCAGGTTTTCTTCAGACTTCCCTGTTTACACCAGTTGTTCCAGTGTGATTCTCAGTAACTCCCTCTTTTATTCTCAAAGAACGTAAATGTATATCATTGGACAGTAAATTATATGGTCATCCTGCCAGTAACCTCCACGTTGTCAACTCCAGCAGTTCCTCCCATGTGCTGTTCACACTCTGCTTTGTTTCAGCCTCAACCTAGCGCCTCAATGGGTTGATGACTTTGGGTCCTTACCTTTAAGTGTTGGGGGGGCCGCAGGGCTTGATCTGGGTCCTTTTCTCTATACTTTCTCTCCGCAAGAGATAAAACATCTGTTTTTTTTTAATATGTACTTTTTAAAAGTTCTAAGTAGGCTCCATACCCATTGTGGGGCTTGAACTCATGACCCCAAGACCAAGAGTCACATGCTCCACCAACTGAGCCAGCCAGTTCTCTATTTTTAAGAGAAAGAGAAACTTGATCAGGAAATTCCTTCCACTTGAGATATAGAAAGTATATATACTCTCAATTGGGAGATGAAAGGGCCAGAGAAAGTGATTAGTGGCACACAAAACAGTACAGAACAGGATTCTTAGATTTGACCAAAGGAGATATTTGATGTATCTAATTAGATAGGTGAGCGCTTTCTGCCCGCATCAGTCTGGGAATCCTTCCTGAAGCTTCAACTTTGGTATAAGAGGAAGAATTCCCACGTGGATGAGAGCCAGTTGTTGGTCAGGGAGGTAGGGATGGCTACACAGCTGTGCTAGGCTCTCCAAAGCATCTCTGGAAGAGTGTGTATTTGGTCAAGTACTAGGCATGGCTCACTAGTCCGTCAACCAGCAGCGCATGTTATTGGGTCTGAGAACCACAGACAACCTGAAGAAATCTTTGCCCACCAAATCAGCCGCAGAGTCAAGTTCAGCGTTGCTGTCTTAGAATTTTTCTCAAGAGATAGATTCGTTTCTGTCATAAGTTAAATCCAGAAACTCCAGCACCATTCTTACCCTTCATATTTGCTTTTAATTTTAAAAGTGCTCTGTTTTGTGAACTAACTGCCCAATTATATTTTTGTAAGGAATGAGATTTACATGTTGCAATATTCTCCAGTTCCTTTGACAGCAGGAAGGCACAGGTGTGGGTACAGTGGGCCATCCTGCTTTCCAAAAGGAGCCTGGACTTAGAGTAACTTTCCACACCTTTATTGTATCCCAGGGATCTTTCTTCCAATTTCTCATTTAATTCACATCAAATCAATTATAAAGAGCAAATGCTTCCGAATGCTCAGGGAGAATATGATTAATGATTATTAACTACAGAGGCGCTGTTGCTGAGTTGCGGCCTCCCAAGTGTAGCTTCTTAATGGCAAGAGCCTCCCTGAAAGCAATAACCAGCATTGCATTAATGAAAAGCCAGTGTTTCAGTAAAGAGTTGCTGTATTTCTGCAGCTCCTGCCCTGTTCAGCCCAACAGTGAAATCTAAAATATTTGAGTGATTAAAACTTTTTATTAAACCATCTTGTCTCTGGGCATTTACACTTCAAGCCTGTCTCTCCTTTGCCTTCCAGCGGAGCACTATCTCAGCAGTAGCAATTACATGGACTGCATTTCTTCGCTAACAGGAAGCAATGGCTGTAACTTGAACAGCTCTTTCAAAGGCTCTGACCTCCCTGAGCTCTTTAGCAAACTGGGCCTGGGCAAATACACAGACGTCTTCCAGCAACAAGAGGTCAGTCACTATTTGTTTATTTTCCCGGGCATTTTCGTTTGGGTTGTATGTATGATGGCTTCTAGAATGAAATCACTTATTGACCTATTCCTGTGCTTTCACTGAGCATTTACTGAAGTCTCATAACTTGTTTTTGCTGCTAGGAAAAATGTCATCTCATTTCTTATTTATTTAGTGCAACTAGTAAACACAGGATAGCAGAAATATAGAAAATTGTGTTTCCAAAAACACACCTTCCCCAATTTTAGCTAAAAGACCTAATCAGTGTATTGATTCACAGCTCCCTCAGCAGCAGAGTCTGTATTTAAGATAATTTCAGTCCTTAATCTTTATCTTTATTTATGGCACTTAAAAAACAGCATCTGAAATAAATATCTCTGTTTTTTTTTAATATTTTTTTAAGATTTTATTTATTTTTATTTGAGAGATAGAGAATGAGAGCACGAGAGGGAAGAGGGTCAGAGGGAGAAGCAGACTCCCTGCTGAGCAGGGAGCCCCAATGTGGGACTCAATCCCGGGACTCCAGGATCATGACCTGAGCCGAAGGCAGTCGCTTAACCAACTGAGCCACCCAGGCACCCTCTCTGGTTGTTTTTGACCCCATCTTCGTCATGTTACTGAATCTGTTCCCACAAAATAGAATATGCTTTTTATATATGTTAATTTATTCATTAATTTACTGCTTGGCTTTTGCCTGAACTAAGAAATGCAACGTCTTCTGAAACACCACCACCATGGATTTTGGTCAAACCAATCAGCCATGGCTATTATGCAGGGACTTAAAGAGAAGAGCCCCTGAACATGATTCTTTCTATTAATGCTGTCATATTACTAGGGCACAGCACAGCAAAGCCAGTGGAACAGAAAGTTAGAATATTTCTATAAATGTATGTATTTTTCAAATCCAGACGTGGTTTAAGTTTCCTGCTAGTTTGGCTTAGTTCATGCTAGAGAACATCTGATTAAGTCACCAATTCCCAAGCACATATCCATCAAAAAGAATCTAAGATTTTTATTATGCAGTTTATATCATAAATTTAATGTATTGCCCATGGTTCAATAAGTTATTAAGTTTAATTGGTGAACTTTTTGTTTCTTAACACCAAAAAAACGTTGTCATGTATGTATTGGATTTCAGGGTATATTGATTTTGTTTTCTTTTCCCTGAATCTAAATTAGTGTTCGTTTAAGTGAGGATTTTCGAAGTTGAATAACACTTTCCTCATCAAACGCATTAAAAAATTGCATTTACTTATTTAGTTTTGCAGGTTAGACAAGGGTAGCTGAGTGAGAAGTTCAAGGGCAGAAGTATTTTAACTTGTCCAAAGAAGGTTTTGAAGTGAAAGATTAGTTGTTATTCAATGATATTCTGGATTTGTTTTATCTATATTTATTTACTATTTAAAGCATAGAAATAAATTTATTAAAGGTACTTTTTTTTAAATTTTATTTTATTATGTTATGTTAATCACCATACATTACATCATTAGTTTTTGATGTAGTGTTCCATGATTCATTGTTTGCGTATAACACCCAGGGCTCCATTCAGTACATGCCCTCCTTAATACCCATCACCAGGCTAACCCATCCCCCGCCCCAGGACCCTCAGTTTGTTTCTCAGAGTCCATAGTCTCTTATGGTTCGTCTCCCCCTCCGATTTTCCCCCCTTCATTTTTCCCTTCCTGCTATCTTCTTTTTTTTTTAACATCTATTGTATTATTTGTTTCAGAGGTACAGGTCTATGATTCATCAGTCTTACACAATTCACAGCACTCACCATAGCACATACCCTCCCCAATGTCTATCACCCATTCACCCCATCCCTCCCACCCGCCACCTCTCCAGCAACCCTCAGTTCGTTTCCTGAGATTAAGAATTCCTCATATCAGTGAGATCATATGATACATGTCTTTCTCTGATTGACTTATTTCGCTTAGCATAATACCCTCTAGTTCCATCCACGTTGTTGCAAATGACAAGATTTCGTTCCTTTTGATGGCTGCATAATATTCCATTGTGTGTGTGTGTATGTGTATGTGTATATATATATATATATATATACATCTTCTTTATCCATTCATCTGTCGATGGACATCTTGGCTTTTTCCATAGTTTGGCTATTGTGGACATTGCTGCTATAAACATTGGGGTGCATGTACCCCTTTGGATCACTACATTTGTATCTTAAAAGCACTTCTTATCCATTTACTCCAAGAAGGAAGAAAACATGATAATATAAAGCCAGATTGCCTTTAGTGAATATATATTAGCTAGAGCAGGGGTCAGCAAACTGTAGCCTGCAAACCTGCCTGTAAATAAAGTTTTATTGAAACACAGCCACACTCGTTCATTTACATATTGTCTATGGCTGCTTTCAAGCTAAAATAGCAGAGTCGAATAGTTGCAACAGAGATAATTTGGCCCACTAAGCTTAAAATATTTACTCTCTTGCCCTTTAAAAAGAGAGGATCCCTAAAATACAGAATCTCTCTTTAATTGAATTTCTAAAACCATATCTTTAGACATGATAAATGAAAAGGTTTTCCAAGATCTGGATATACCTTCAAAATGAAAACAGAGGGGCGCCTGGGTGGCTCAGTCGTTAAGCGTCTGCCTTCGGCTCAGGTCATGATCCCAGGGTCCTGGGATCAAGTCCCACATCAGGCTCCCTGCTCAGCGGGAGGCCTGCTTCTCCCTCTCCCACTCCCCCTGCTTGTGTTCCTGCTCTCACTGTCTCTCTCTCTCAAATAAATAAATAAAATCTTTAAAAAAGACAAAAAACAAACAAAATGGAAACAGAATATCTCAAATTAATTTCTATATATTTGAATGAAAGTATAAATTTGGTTGTTTCTTTCATGTAGGTTATTTTCTAATACTCAGCTATCACTTAACAAGAATTCCCCATTAAGTGACCTTGTGGGATTTAGTTTATTGTAAGCAAGTTGAATATTTATTTAGCCACTTTCGTAGATGATATGTCTAAATACATAATTACTAACCATAGCTGTCAGTTATTTTATGCCTTTGGTGAGCTCATTGCTTTATATCTCCAATTTTTTTTAATGCCCACTGGAGCCCTGTAAGGTACAGTATTGTCAACCCTAAGTGCCCACAACTAGTAATGGCAGAGACAGAATAGAAAGCCAACACTCTCTGGCTTCAGAGCCCATTACCTTTCTGTTCCTCCACATTGTCTTAAAAGGAAGGGTGGGATTCTTGAGCTACTTCCCTCCACACTTTGTTGCCAATGCCAGAGAGGGCAATTATATTGTTCCTGGAAATACCTCTTGTATGCCACTGTTGGAGATAATTTGCCAGGCTGAGCCAAGTGAACCATGTATCTGATGTAATCTAGGAATTCTCTCTCATTCTTATGAAGAACACAGTGGAGGATACCAGATATGGTATTATTCAATTTCCTTTTATAGAGCTATACTTAACCAATTCAGAATGCAAAGCTAAGAAATATTTTCTCTCTTCTGGACAGGTATGTATTCTTCCTTTTATCAGTTCCCCAAAACTGTAGAATTTGTGCTTCCCTTTTTGCTCTGGCTGCCAGAATGCTAAGACCTAAATATTTAATCTCATTTGCAGTAAATAACTGGCTTAGCCTAAGGCTTATGCTAGAATAATCACTTTCATTTCACCACCTTTATTACTTAGCCCTTATCCCCTCTGTTTGTGACACCACCGTTCCTTTTTGGAAGTAGGCAGAGCATAATTAGTGAATGGAATATGTGTAATAATGAGTTGAACTTTTAGTGAGCAAGAAAATAAGTGCTTAATGTATTGGTTATAGATTACTTTTTCACCCACAGATCGATCTTCAAACATTCCTCACTCTCACAGATCAGGATCTGAAGGAGCTGGGAATTACGACTTTTGGTGCCAGAAGGAAAATGCTGCTTGCAATCTCAGGTGAATATAAGTGCTCATACTCTTATTTTAAAACCTGAATAACCTCTGCCAGTGTCCTCAGCCAGTGGGGCTGGTTCTGTCCATCAACCACTTGCTTACTACGCTGGCACCTTGTGGTTGTGGTTTTAGACTGTTCTCCCGCTAACATTGTGACAAATGCTGAGAACATCCCTTCTGCTCCTTCATCAAGGCATTGCCTGAAAACCTGCCTTGACAATATTGTTCTTTAAAACAGATCTCTTCAGAAAGATCTAACCAAAATTGCCCTTGGCAGAACACAAGAATGGGGGAGAGGTGGAATTCTCCTTTTTGTGGCTGTGTTAAGCAATAATCATTGGGTTAGTGAATAATTATTCTGGATTGGCTGTCATGTTCCCAGCTGCATGTATCCTTGTATGCCAACTGAGGTCATTGCACCAGGGAAGAAGAGAATGATCCTTGGTATAGCTGGAATCTGGCAGTATTGTCTTGCTTTTAAAATTTTCCCAAACTCTTAATTGAATTTGTGAGTCACAGAAGGGTGTATCCTGAGTGTAGTTACAGAATGAAGGAAAATAATGTTGTCTGTCTCCCAGACCACGTTTTTTTGTGTATCTGTTGCATATTCTGTGTATTAGAAAATGCTCTTATGTGTATTTCCTGAGTACCTGCCATTTAAGAGGAATTAAGCTGGATGGTGAGTCAGGAATCTGCAAATACATAACCATGTACCTCAAAAAGGTGTAGAGAGAAATATGAGGAAGATATGAGGGGCAAAAAAAAAATGAAGTTACTTTTTGAAGAAGTTCTGATGAAGTTCATTAATGTCAATGTTATATGTGTGCCAGTTTCTCAAAGACAGAGACACCAAGGACAGAAGCCCAGTATCAGGGGTGGTGGGAAAATGACTTTGCCTTTCAAAACATGGATTTTTGCAGGCTGTGCCTTTATGAGGCCAGCAGAGGCATCCAACCAAGTGCAAGTCCTTTCCAAACAGCATTCACTGATCAGATCAGCAAATAAAATGAAAACCTCAGTGGTTTTCCATTTCATTTTAGCCCGAGATTGCATTCCCCTCCCAAGTCCCTCAGGAAATCTTATATATAGACCTACTACCTGAAGCACATACAAGCAAAGCAGCTTTGAAATAAGGGTGGAAATTCAGCCATTGAGCTGCCTGTTAGGCTCCTCCGTGGATAGAGCTCTGCAGGTCGGTTTGAGAAGTCTTCTCCCGTCCTGTGTACCCAACTGGTTGCATTAATGAAACTCCACAGGGCAGATGCTTTTTCTTGTTTGTTCATAAGATCAGCTTGGTATAGTAAAAAGAGCACTATACTCACATAAGGAGATCTGAGCTTTGCCTCTGTCAAGTCATTAGTCCTTGGGTGAGTTTCCAAACCTCATTTGGTTTTAGTTTCTTAACCATGAAAATAGGTAATTGTGTAAGGTTACCTTCCATTTCTAAGGTCTGTCCTTCCAAGCGCTATGTCATCAGGTGTAGTGAAAATAACGTACAGTTTTAACAGTGTATATGATTAGTAATACACTCTTTTGTTCTTTCTTTTTTTACTACCTGTGGCAATAGGTTTTCAGTTTGTTTACTCTGAAGCTCAGCCCTAAAGTGCTATTTCTAGACCCAAATTAACTTTATATATGTTCACATTCTTTTATTAATTTAAAAAAGAAATTAATATACTACTTGAAATTTGATTAACTCACACAATTACTGAGCCTATAGTGTAAAAATATGCTTGTGGGTCAGCACATTTATACCAGAGAAGTTTATATTCTAGAATTATTCACTAGAGAATCATTATATGGTCAGGGACCATATAATGAAAATTAAGTTCTTTCTTTGTGCACCCAAACTTTGTAAAGCTCCCAGCAACAAGCAGGTATTTCTAAATCACTGGGGCCTTTATTCTGGAACACATTTGTGATATATTTCAGATGAGTTTTGGGGAGTAGAGTGGGAAACAGGAGGGGTTTTGAATCTTCTTTAATTTTTTTTTCTCCTCAGTGTGGTTCTGTAGACCACCTCTCTCAGTGGGGTTCACAGGTCTTCTTGCTTTTAAAGTAAATTAGAGGCTTTGAATAGATGCCTTATGAATGTTCTCTGCACAGTGTGAAGTATTTGATTATTTTAAGGATGATTTTGCCTTACTTTGTTGAGCGTATTTGTTTGAACCTGGTAAATTGTTTTCTCTGCAAGTAATAAGTTTTTATTGAGAAACCCTTTGTCAAAAAGCTCCTTTTTCCAATTCAACTCATCTGATAACAAAGACATTCATTTCTAGTCTCAGAACATTCCATTTCCAGGAATAGATGCAGGATAGCTGGGCAGCTTTTACTCACGTTGTCTTGTGGTTACATAGTTTGGTTAGATACAGACTTTGCTCAAAATTCCTTTCTAAAATTTTATAGATTTTTAATTTGTGATCAGGGTCATTCTTTCAGTATAAGGTTTTATTCTGTTTTTAATCTTGGGCCAGAAGACATTTCTTTTAATGTCATAGAAGGAGAGGGGATTTGTCTCTAGTAGAGATGGATCAGAGAAAAAAAAAAGGTCTTTTTTTCAAATCTATGATTTTTAAAAATTCTTTTATTTCTCTCCGAGTATTTTAGTGAGTGGTTATCTAAATGTACAGGGACAAGGTAAAAGAGACTTTAGCATCCTGTTGACAGGCTTCCCACCACGGCCTCAGGTAGATCTAACATTTCCCGACCTATTCTTTTAGTTTGTGACTCTGTTCAGACCCGCAACAAGATCCTGAGAGCTGCCAGGATTGTGTGAACCTTGGAATATCAAAGAAAAAGGTTGGTATTTTCCCAAACTATCTCTTAGGTTTACTTGAAAAAAAATCAGAAGGGAGTTTGCTTTTTAATGTAAAAAACAACAACAAAAATTAAAGTCTCTTCAGTAGGACTTGATCTTTGATAATCTCTAGAAGATTTAGCTCTGTTTCACATTTTGGAAATATACACCTTAGAAATTATTTCTTTAGGGAATGGACAAATTCCTTCATGGTCATTTTATTCTCTCAAAAGTCTAGTTGATGTGACTTTTCAGAATAAAGTTTTCAATGTCTTTTTTAAAAATGTGTCTTCAGTGGCCCAGTTTCTTCATGTGCTCAGTTGTACATGTTACGTGTGCTAGGGGAGACTGGTGTTTCACCTGCTCATTCCTTTTCCTTCTCTACAGTATGGGAATGTTCTCCTGGTTCATGGGTTGCTCTCTCATGAGAATGCAGGCCAAAGACAGTCTTCTAACTAGAAGGTGATAAAACTTTCCCAGGCCGTGTACTTTTAAGGGGATTCATTTATTCTTAAGTCTCCTATAGTTGCATTTAAATACATTAAATTCTGTCTTGATTTCTGAATCTCTGTGTTTGTTTTTTAAACACAATACATGTGTTCAGCTTTTAGTAGGAATATCACTGTGGCAGTGTCTCTGCAGGAACTTGAAGGTAGCCCTCTGTAAGCAGGCCTGCATGTGTCTTGCTTATACAGGTATCTTCCTTGCTTCTCCAGAGTTTTAAAGCTATGTTTTTCTGTTTAAAAAATAAATTTGGTACCGTAAAATCTGAAGTACAGCTCTGTTATCTGGCATACTTGAAACTACCGATTTTTAAAATTTGTATTCCTGATGTCTCAGTTGGTCTTCTTTACTCAATGGTTGGACCACTGGAGCCGAGGGCCCAGGACGTGGACCTTTGTGTAGGCAGATAGTTTCAGCCTGTCACTTAAAAGCTGTGTGGACTTTGTCTATTTTTAAAACTCAATTTTCTTACCTAAAATGGAGGATAGTGTGTGCCTGGGTGGCTCGGTCGGTTAAGCATCTGCCTTAGGTTCAGGTCATGATCCCAGGGTCCTGGGATTGAGTCCCATGTTGGGCTCCCTGCTCAGCGGGGGAGTCTGCTTCTCTGCCCCTCCCCTGGCTCATGCTCGCTCTCTCTCTCACTCTCAAATAAATAAAATCTTTAAAAAATATATAAATAAAATGGAGAATAGTGATATCATTTACTCCTTAAGGAGGCTTAAATAGGACAAAACAAATTGTAAAGTGCTTATCTTTAATAAGCACCACTAAGTCACTTATTTTTGTTCCCCCGCAAGACCTAACTGTGAACAAAAGAGAGATATCTCCACTTTTGCATTGCCCCTGTGGGGCAGACATTTACATTTTGGAAGGCAGTGGGGTGAAATATTAAGGGTGTTGGTTCATCTTCCAGAACTTGGGAGATAAGTGCACATTTGGCCATATGGCTGTCCTGAGCCACCTGTGGCCGGCACCCTGCAACTTGAATCTGTTGTCCTGAGCCCCAGCATTAGTGCAGCCATACCTTGCAGTACAACTTCAGAATTGGAAAGGGGATTGTACCTGTGCGGGGTTGAAAAAGTTCTGAGTACTGTGCAAATGCATGTGTGGGATCACTGGCTCCACTCCCTTAAAAAAAAAAAAAAAAAAAGGAAAGGAAAAGAAAAGAAAGAAAAGACAACTTTAATCACATCAACTATATCCCATTATTTGATACTTGGGTTTGGTGGCTATTGGAACCCTAATTTCCAGTGTATGACAATTCTCTTTACTGGTATGAGTTCATTAGCACGAGTTACGTCACTTGGTTTGAGGATTTGTAAATATATGCGGTGGGGGAAGGGGGTTGCATAGTGATAAACAAGGTGCTTCAATTAATTTTTTACCTTTCTGGTTAGTAATTTCTACTTGGTGAAAGGCAAAGTCAGTTGCGTTTTCCTCAGTACTCTGGTTTCCTTAAAATTAAAATAAAGCATCTTAGTTTTTTCCTAAGAACTTGAATTCAAGTATAAGTTGTTTTCAGTTATAATAATTTCCTAAACTGTTGCTATTTTTACTAAGTTGATTTTTTTATTCAAAGGAAACTCCTGCTGATACAGTTCTTAATAGAACTCTTTCTGACTCAAGGAGCAGACGCATCATGAGTCAGGAGAGCCGTCGGGCTGTGGCTTAACACTTCATCGTGCTCCTCCATTATTCTCGTGTTTCTATGTGGGGTCTTCTTTTCATGTCTGACTTCAGTGATTTCATGACTGCTGTGTTTGACATGGATGAGTTCAGTAGCTGTAATGATTTTCTGTGTCATTGGTAATACATCCTCTCATATGCCTTTCACCAGCTTTGATGGCCCCCCTCCCTTTGCCTCTGCAGTGACATTTGGGATAATTCAAACTGTTTAATTTGTATATCAGGAGTACAGAGGGTTCTGAGAATGACATATCTCCCAGGTAGTCTACAAACTGCAATAAAAACGATTTGCTGTCCTTGGTTCTCTCACTACCAACATGCTCCATTTAATATCAGACTTTCTAGCACTTCAGAAATGTCTTGACCGGCAACTAAAACTTTTCCTTTTGCCACCAGAATTGACTTTCCCTCCAAAACCCTCCTATGTCACCATTTTCTGAGCTCTGCTGCCATGTCCTTTAGATTAGACAACTTCGCCACTGAGCTCCTAAAAATTCTCTCTTTCTCTCTCTAGAACTAAATAAAAATCGAAGAAAGCTTTTTGAACCACCAAGTGCACGCACCTCTTTCCTGGAAGGCGGAGCGAGTGGGAGGCTACCCCGTCAGTATCACTCACACATTGCTAGTGTCAGTGGCCGCTGGTAGCAACACCTACCCTCCAGGCATGCACCCGCCAGTCTTCAAGTTGGACACAGGAGATCTGTGAACAGCCTTCACTGCACACCATCCTCAGCACTCTGGGTGTCTGGTATCAGGACCAAAGCATCTTATTCACACCTGAACTTTGCGCTAAAAAGGGAGAAAAGAAAGAAGATGATCTTATGTCATCATACAGAATGCCACATTTGGTTGACTTTTTTTAACGGCAATTGGACAGAACTTGCAATTTGAGGGTAGGGCTTTATTTCCTGTTTTTACTTACCTAAATAACATATGCACTGATTTTTTACTTAAAATGAAGGATTAATTGACATCTGGGAGGCCAGAAAACTTAGAGGTTCTTTTGTTTGCTTGTTTTGTTTAGGGATTTGGGGATTTTTAAAAAATAATCAAAATGGAATTTTCTGGTACTGCTTTAAAATAATTATTGAGGTCTTTCAGCACTTTACACTTTTTAATATCTTGTCCTGTGGAAATATCTCTCTTTCTCTCAATTTTCATGTCACCTGATGTATTGGTACAAATCAGATTTAGTTATACTTCTTTGACTATCAAATTTTTATTTAAAATGGTACTGGATTATTAGTTTTGTGCAGAATATTCTGACTTTGAGAAATGTAAGTGACTCCCCTTGGTTCTGGACCAGTTCTGTTCATTTATGTCAACATCCTAGAAATAATTAGCAATGAACCTATTTCACATAACAGGTGCAAAGAAAGACCAGATGGACTTTGCAATATTAACCCTTTGCAGTCATCATATTTAGCTGCTGCCTATATTGCTAAAATGATTTTAATGGTTGTCTGAAGGCAAAGGGCTATTCTTTAGTATACTGCCACTAAAGGACACTTATTTATATCAAACTTTTATTTTTAGATATTATAAGCATACAGTACATAACTGATTAAATTGATATCTACTAGAGATTTATGGTAGAGAATGGACGGCATTCAATAACTGGAGCCCTAGATTGTCATTTTATTTAAAAAAAGACAAATAATCATCTGACAAGACAGCACTGTTGCCATTGAGAGGAGAAATAGATTACTATCCTTACCATGTACACTCTAGCTGTGCTCCATATGGTCACAGGACTTTAAAAACCATATCTGTCTGCTTGAAGTTGACTTGTGTTTGTTGAGAACAGAAAGGGTTTATTTCAGTTTTCAGGGTGACAGTTTATAAAAACAGCTGAGTTCCAAAGGAAGACAAAAAAAAAAAAAAAAAGACTATTTTCTAAGTGACTAGACTCATTGTTACTATCTTATACTGTGAAAGTCCAAGAAATCAGGCAAATTGTTTCCTAGGTCTTCCCAGACATCTTATTATAGATTTATGAAGGGTTTTCAATCCATGAAGAAAATCACTAAGTGCCTCTCTTTGTTCAAGGCAATATTATTTCCAAGTGTATTAATTTGTTGGAAAACTTTCCCATAGGAAATGTTCTGAATTACCTGTACTGTAATGACTTATTTATGTTCAGTATTCAAGACTTTCTACATGGACATAAACCACTGTCACACATTCTCAGCAGAAGGCATTACATAAGCATACATAACAATTGGGGACTTTGATACAAATGTGAGATTAGAAAGATTCGCCAGATATTTTTCCATGACTAAGTCTTACCATTAAAGTAAAAAAAGAGTTGAAGAGAAATTTTGCACACACAAAAAATAATTTCACTTTAAAAAATAATATGGTAACCTGGAAGGCATAGATAATGGGCCTGTCATAAAATTATATCAGTTATGACAGCACGGAGATGTCCATTCCTAAACTAAATCTTGTGTGCTTAGGTGTGAGAAATAAATTGCTCCTTTTGCAAGTACAACAGAATCATCTTGTGCACATGTCACATGTACACATACCATCACATGGAGCTCCCTGCCTTACATGGCTATATGAACACATCATGCTACACATTCAGCAGAGGGTAAGAATTTGGATTTTTTCCTGTTCCACTCATGCAGTGGAACAGGAGGAAGATGGAATGAATTTGCAGTATTAAGTTGATACAGGTTTTATGAACAGTGCTTTGATACTATGCCAAAGAGAAAACTGTCCCAATTAAACTAGATTAAATAGGGTGGCTAAAAATAAATAAAAACACTGGAAATTACTTTTCTCACTTTCTCTTGATGCAATGAAGGGAATATGACACTACAGTATATGGTGTTGTCAGTGTTGTATGATGCACAAAATATTTGGATTATTTGAATAAATGTTAGTTTTTAATCAATCTGTGCCTTAATAGTGACCGGTTATCTGTAAATAGAGAACAGATACAGATTGTATTTTTGTGGGGATTTTTTGTCCTTTTAGTGATTTTTTTTTTTAATGAGAGATGGAATTAAGCATTGAAAATGGGAATTTTTTCTAATCAATTGTTATATGAAAAATAAATTTATATAACCCCTTTGTATTGCCCTTGCTAGATGAAATGTGCCTCTCTCTCTCTCTTTTTTTTTTTTTTTTTGGAAAAAAAAATCTTTTTACATAAACCTATGCCCATCTTTGTTTTCTAAGAAAACTTTTATTTGTTGCCATTTTCAGCAGAATTGGAAGATGTCTCTGCAGTAGAATTGAGCATGCATTCTCTCTCCTGTTGTTTTGCATTGGCCTCATTTTCATTCAGAAGCTAAGGCCCTTTATTTTAGCCAGTGAGTTCAGGACCAGTAATCAATCGTTGTTTCTCTGGCCACCCATAGGTATATACCAAAAGAGTAAGATTACACATTTTATTCTTGTTCTTTCTTTCTTTTATAAAGAATCAAATGTATGACCACTTTGACAACCTCATCCGTCAGCAGAGGAGCTCTTTACTAAAGTTATGCTGGGCTTCTTGACCCAGGTTCCTGTTTCAGAGACCGTCGTGCTGTCACACTGCATGCTCACTGTGCCTTGTGCTGAGATTCTGTCTGAACTCATTTTCAAATAGAACTAATATCATATTACTAATCCTGAGATTTGTTAAATCTCAAGGAAACCCTAACCTTCCACTTATTATACTTCCAGAAATACCTCCACTTGAATTACCTATGCCAATGGTTCTTTAAAAATGTTTCTAGCACTAGAGTTCTTTAGATAACTGAAATATTACCTATAAACTAAATATTAAGTTATTCATTTGCTCATTTTCCTATAAGTACATAGGGCTTGGTAAGTACCAGGCCCTGTTCTAGGAGCATCAATGAATGGAACATAAACCCTTGCCCTCACTATTACATTAGAAATGGAAAACCGTATGGGACACCTGAGTGGCATAGTCAGTTAAGTGCCCGACTCTTGGTTTCAGCTCAGGTCATGGTCTCAGGGTCGTGGGATGGACCCCCACGTTGGGCTCTGTGCTGAGTGGAGTGTGGATTCTGCTTAGGTTTCTCAATCCCTCTTCCCCTCCCCCATTCTCGCTCGCTCTCTCTAAAAAATAATCTTTAAGAAAAATGGAAAACAATGGAGCTGATGAGGGACTGGAGGATGGACTGTCCCCACCCTTCAACACAGGCCTCCATGTGTTTATAGCACTGGGAACTCCTGTGCTGTCTAGAAACCCCAGTTTTTGACAAAACTGTTGAAAGTTCCCATCTCATAGAAATGGGCCTGTGCTCTCAAATGCAGTATTTCTTTCATCTACCTTTTGTTTTCTAGGTTTCATAGGTTTAATCAGATTCTCAAAAGGAATGTGGCCAAAAGGGTTATGACCCACAGCTTTATAGTTACACGATATGACCCATAATTTCTTAGATTTGACTCCAAGTGACTTTGCAATATTTAGAACTCAGGTTTACCTTGAGAGAACATGCGTTTGCTACCACTGAGGATACTCTGAGAATGTAGTAATAGAGAGTAATGCTAGATGGTGACTTAAGTTGTTCCTGACTTTGCTTCTCCCCCGCCCCAAGAACAACTAACAACTATTCATGGACAGGGCACCACTAAGAAAGCCCTAGAACATGGGGGTGAGCCTGAAGTGCCTCTCATGCCACAGAGACCAAGACAGACTGGATTGGAAGAGTATGAGAAGTAGCTACACATTGATGGCATTGCCCTTCCCCCAGCCCAGTGCAGTACCATGCCAAAAGCTGGTAGTTCCCCTCTGGAAGCTCTCGCCTAAGTCTATAGTTCCTCTACTGGAAAAAGAGGACCCCAGGGGTGACATCCAGCCCCCTGAGGTAGTGGGTTGCTTTGTAGGAGCACCTACTCTGATCTCACTGCATGGGGATCATGGGAATCTGATTAAGATGGAGAACGGGAGAGGGGCTTCCAACAACCAACACTCAAATCTTAGCAGACCACATTTCTACCTGTAGGCCCAAGCAATAGTTCCAACCAGTGACTTTGTGTAAATCCACAGAACCAAATAGGTGATGCAATCTGACCAGGTGCATTCACACCACAGCAGGGTACAGACCTACGAGATTTGGGTTTTCAAATAGAGTTTTGCCAGCCCTGGAGTCTTAGTCTTCCCAAACACAGCCAGGAGAGCTGTGTCATACCCCCCCCCGCCAATCCTGTGTGGAACATAGTCTCCCCGCCATATGACAGGCAGGGCTGACAGAACACCTGGAAGTTGCTGTGTAACCCAGTAACATGCAAACTGAGGTGAGAGGGAAGAACTGATTGCCTCCAGAGAAGAGGAGCCCTGTTTGGCCAGGGAACTTGGGGAATATGTTGGCTTGCATCAATACCACAAACAGAACCTTAGTGGTTTTGGAGCTGCTTCTGCTGTGCCCAGGGAAAGGAAACAAATTCATAGCCACAATTATTATTTTTTTTAAGATTTTATGTATTTATTTGACACAGAGAGAGAGAACACAAGTAGGGAGAGAGGCAGGCAGAGGGAGAAGGAGAAGCAGGCTCCCCACTGAGCAGAGAGGCTGTTGCGGGGCTCAGTCCCAGGACGCTGGAATCATGACCTGAGCCGAAGGCAGATGCTTAATTGACTGAGCTACCCAGGCGCCCTAGCCCCAGTTACTCTTGAATACAGCCTTCAACCTATCTGACCAGGGAACCTTATCAGAATTCATGGGAAGTTTTATATCCCCTCCCCAGCCCTGCTTACAGTGGCACTTGAACAGAAAGCATATCCCATGGCACTCTCCATCTGTAGAGCAAAATCAGTGACCTCACTAACCAGGATATTCACTGTACACTCTTGCCTGATTCAGGTGCCCAAACAACAAGCCATTCAGGCCGTGGGTCCCGTCCTGCTGCCCTGCCAGGGAAAGGCAGTTCTTTTCATAGCCCCACCTGTTGCTGAGTATAGCATCCAGTTCTCACTATTAGGTAAGCCTGACCAGGAACAAAGGCAACCGTGGAGCCCATCCCACAGTTTCATTTGGGCAGGGAACGAAGTCAGCAGTACTATTCAGCTGTTTTCAGCCAGTGTCACACCACCCCAGCACTGACAGAGCTCAGTTACCTTGCCCCCAGATAGACCCTGATGGCAGGCCCCATTGTCCAAGAATGTTACCCCAGCAGACATGTCCAGAAGCCCAAACTTAGCTGACTGGTGAAGTACTGTCTCTGCAAAGTGAACCTGTGAAGTCTGAAAGAGGAGACAACTTAGATACCAAAGTAAGGATCACAAAAATCAGGTAAATATGACACTACCAAATGAAACTGAAAGCTGAAACTAATAACTGAAGGAAATGGAAACATAGGGAAATGGAAATCAGTGAACTGTCAGGCAAAGAATTCAGAATAATCCTCTTAAGTAAGAACTAGAACACAGTTAAACAAAATTAGGAAAATAATACATGAACAAAATAAGATGTTCAACAAATAGTAACTATAAGAAACCAACCTTAGAGCTGGAAAATACAATAACTGAAGAATTTAATAAAGAGACTGAAAGAAGACTCAAAAAACAAAAACAACAACAAAAAAGGAAGACTCAACTATGCAGAAGAAATAATCAGAGACCAGGAAGATAGGACATTTGAAATTATCAAGTCAGAGCAACAAAAAGAATAAAGTGAAGAAAGCTTACAGAACCTAGGAACACAATAAAAACAATATTAACACAATAACAATAAAAACAAGTGGGAATTCCAGAAGGTGGAGGAAACGAGAAAGGAACAGAAAGTATATGTAAAGAAATAATAGCTGGAGCTTTTCCAAGGAGGGGAGAGAATTAGACATCCAAATCCAGGAGGCCCCAAAGACTCCAAACAGGTTGAACTGAGACATTATAATTACACTGTCACAAGTCAAAA